GCGGAGGGCAGGGGGGCCCCCGAGGACCACGCAGCAGAAGCGGACGGTGCGCTGCGTGCGGGACACGGTGCTGCTGCTGCACGGCCTGTCCCAGAAGGACAAGCTCTTCTCAGTGCACTGCGTGGAGGCCCTGCACCAGTACGACCAGGTGATGCCAGGGGTCGGCATGCTCATCCGAGGGCTCCCTGACGTGACGGACTGTGAAGGTGAGCAGCAGGGCCGCCTGCCCTGCCCTGCCCTGCCCCTGGCCACCCCTGGGTCCTCCCTGACGTTCCTTTCACAGACAGCCACCTGCCGGCTCTCCTCCACTGCCCTCCTCCCTGCCCTGCAGCCTCTCTGGCCCAGAGACGCTCGCTGTCCCACTGCTGTGCTTCTCTGAGCCTGTCGGGCTGCCTTTTGCTCCCATCGGTTGAGTCCGTCTGGCAGAGCCACGGCTTTTCCAGAACCATCCCTGTCTGAATTGCCTTTGTGTCACTTTGCTTGCAGTAGCTGAGGGAGCGAGGCCTGGGCGTGGAAGGGACTGGTTAGTTCCTGCGGGTTCGGGGGAGGGACGGGGGGGCCTCCCCCAGCCCAGCACCGTCGGGCCTTCACCATAGAACCCTCTTCTTCTTGGCCCAGAGGCAGCCCTGGATGACCTCTGTGCCGTGGAGGCCGACGCGGACGATCCAGAGATGGACTGCGGCTAAGGCCGGAGGGTGGCACCACCCGCCGTGCCCGTGGCTCATTAAAGCAGTGGCCGTGGCCAGTGGCCGCCTGGCATGCCCGCAGCCTTGTGTTTCCTGAGTCGGATCTTTAGGCCCCGGTGTGGGGGATGGAGCAGGGCTGGATCCTGGGAGGCTGAACTGTCTTCCTGTCCCTATGGTAACGAATCTGGAGGACAGCCCTGCCCTGCAAGGAATCACCCTGAGTCACCGCTTGGGGCTGGGGCCATGGGAAGAAGCCATTGTGTGGCAGGGGAGGAGGTCCCGGGGCCCTGGCCCAACCAGGAAAGCCTGGGAAAGTGGGGCCCAGGGCTGGGCGCAAAGGGCTACCACAGGGCTGCGGGGGTGGGGGGGATAGGGCTCGAGACCTGGAGCTGGCG